ATGCGCATCGTGAGGGATACGGTCAAGGAGCGCGAATCCAAGGGCATTGTGCGTAACGATTTCATGAATCTGCTCATCGAGATGAAGCATCGCGGGGAGCTGACGCTGCCCGAAATGGCCGCCCAGTCGTTCATATTCTTTGCCGCCGGCTTCGATACCTCAGCCTCGACCCTGGGATTCGCCCTCTATGAACTGGCCAAGCAGCCACAGCTTCAGCTTAAGCTTAGACAGGACATTGAGCAGGCGCTGCAGGCGCATGGAGGCCAATTTTCGTACGAGTGCATGCAGGAGCTGCGCTATATGGAGCTGATCATAGCAGGTCAGTGTAATAACAATAAGTAGGGGTATTCATATATGTATATCGCACACCGCCAACTTAGAACTCTTTATAGGTGCATTTTTCGCGATGTTCCTTATCATTTTCCAAACAAAAGATTATAAAATACCATAGCTTAACACGAAGCATTAAGTTTTAAATCTAGCCTATAGAGTCATCAGTAAATATATATATAACATATATATTGCTGATAATAATAATAATTCATTTTATTATCACTTTTATAAGTTATATTTTCTTTTAATTCGGGTCTTAATACCGAACTCCTCAGTAATAGCTAAAGTTCTTTTTATTTTGTTGACTAGGATATATACATACATATATATAAGGGGATATTCGTATATTTTTGAACCTCAGAACTTTTGACTAACCATCTTTATCTAGTACAGAGACAGACTTGTATATAAATATATATCTGCAGTAAGATAGAAAGAGATGAGGAAAAGGAGAAAGTAATTGAAAGAAAGGGAAATGGTGAGAGCATGAGCAGAGAATCACTTAGTTAGATTACTAAGACAACATGTTCATATAATACGTATAGAACTTAGAACTGTATATAAACTTCGTCTGCTTTTTGTATAAGCACATTTATAATAATATATTCGACTATACACAATTATAATTAGAGATACATGATATATGGCCAACAATTTTATAATTCTTATCTTAATCAGACTTTAATTGAACCTTAACTAAAATTTTTAGAGACGCTTCGCAAGTATCCCATTTTGCCTCATCTGTCGCGCGTCTCTCGCAACTTTTATGCGGCCAAGGGCAATAAACACTTCTACATCGAGCCTGGCCAGATGGTTTTCGTACCAGTCTATGGCATACATCACGACCCAGAGCTATATCCGGAGCCTCACAAGTTTATTCCGGAACGATTTCTCGCCGACCAGATGGCACAGCGACACACCGCCTCCTGGCTGCCCTTTGGCGATGGACCCCGCAACTGCATCGGCATGCGTTTCGGCAAGATGCAGGTGAGCGTGGCCCTATTTTACCTGCTAACGCGCTTTCAGTTTAGTGTCTGTCCGCGGACTGCGTCCAAAATTGATTTTGTCAAGTCCAACATATTGCTATGTCCAGCCAATGGCATCTATTTGAAGGTTGAAGAGCTAAGAAATTAATAATACAATCACATTTATCAAATTGACATTATGTAATCTTATATTAGTCGATTATAATAAGAAATATATTAATAAATAATTTATCGTACTTACATATCTACAATTATATTGACCACTGCCCGATTTAAGCTTATTTTTGTGACTAGGGTTCATTACATTTTGTTCAACATAAAATTAATAAAGCTAAAATTAATTAATTAAGAACGTGTTATTCGTTTTGTCTTCTAAGCGTCACATCTTTTCTTTTGTTAACATATGTAGGCTTGTAGGGTTCCGATTACTATTTTAGGTAACTCAATGACTAAGCAATAGTATTAGCATTCCTTCTATATATAACTACTACGATTACTACCTGGGAACAATCATTTCGTTTGCTCGGTGCAACATTGCGGCATATGATACTATGGAATGAGATTAGATTAGATACTATGCATCCAAAATTTAAAAAATGTTTAAATAACTGTGTCCGATAAGTTCACCAATTAAGCGTGAATTGAAGCTAAACTTTTTTTCCTATAACAATTACTTTATTTGCGAATAATAAGAACTTAAGATAATTGATCTTTATTCTTTATATATCAAGAGAGAGGCAGTATCTCGCTCCCTCTCTCTGTCAATGTGTTATAACCACATTTAGCGGAAAGCTCTGCGAGAGCGAGCTTTGGACTATATATAACGTGTGTTGGGCGTATCGTTAGCTCAGTTGGCAACGGCGCATATAATGTCGTTTATTCTAGCACTGGTCGGTATTATAATATCGCTGCTGTTTTATGCAGTCCGGCATAGGCACAACTATTGGAATCGTCGTGGGATTCCACACGATGTGCCCAAGTTTCCGAAGGGCAACATCGGCGACTGGCCGTCCAAGCGGCAAATAGGCGTTGTCTTCAGGGATTACTATCTGAAGTACAAGAATGCAAATAGTCCCTTTGCGGGCTTCTATTTCTTTTTCACCAAGACCGTTGTGGTCACTGACATGGAGCTGGTGAAACGCGTCCTCATAAAGGATTTCAATAACTTTGAGAATCGTGGTATATTCTACAATGAAATTGACGATCCCCTGTCGGCCACCCTGTTCAGCATTGAGGGACAGAAGTGGCGGCAACTGCGGCACAAGCTGACGCCCACCTTCACCTCGGGCAAGATGAAGCACATGCTGCCCATAGTTTTGCAAGTGGCTGAGGAAATGGCCAAGGTGTTTAAGGAAAAGGTGTCTGCGCCTCAGGTGTTGGAGATCACCGATTTGGTGGGTCGCTATACGGCCGACGTGATTGGCACCTGCGCCTTTGGGCTCGACTGCAATAGTCAGCGCAATCCAGATGCGGATTTTGTCAGCATGGGCAAGCGAGCAGTTACGGAGCGACGCTATCGTGGCCTTCTTGATTTCTTCTTATTTGGCTTTCCCAAGTTGTCGCGTCGCCTGCATCTGAAGATGACAACTGAAGAGGTTGAGGAATTCTACATGCGCATCGTTCGCGATACCATCAACTACCGCCTCAAGAGCAATGAGAACCGCGGCGATTTCATGGACATGCTCATCGAAATGTATCAGAAGCAGCAGGAGGGCAACACCGATGAGGGCCTGACCTTCGAGGAGCTGGCCGCCCAAGCGTTTATATTCTTTGTGGCCGGCTTTGAGACCAGCTCCACAACCATGGGCTTTGCCCTGTACGAGCTGGCCCAGCATCTGGACATCCAGGACAAGTTAAGAGCGGAAATAAATGATGTGCTTGGCAAGCACGGCTATAAATACTCTTACGACAATGTTAAGCAAATGGAATATCTGGAGCAGGTTGTCATGGGTAACATATTATACAGCCTGTTTGTGTCTGTGTTTTCCTAATTCTAAACTTAATACTTCAATATAGAAACTCTTCGCAAATATCCCGTGTTGGCCCATCTGACACGCAAGGCCATCTCGGACTATTCGCCAGGGGATCCGAAACACTATATTGAGAAAGGCAGCGTAGTTGTGATACCAGCCCTCGGCATACACTACGATCCCGACATCTACCCCGAGCCACAAGAGTTTAAGCCAGAGCGCTTCACGGAGGCAGAGATTTCGGCTCGACCAGCCTGCAGTTGGCTGCCCTTTGGCGATGGTCCCCGCAATTGCATTGGCTCCCGCTTCGGCCTCATGCAGACCTGTGTGGGCCTGGCCCATCTGATCAAGGACTTCAAGTTCAGTGTGTCGCCCGAGACCCAGATACCCATGAAATTGGTCACCAAGAACATACTGTTGTCTTCTGAAAACGGCATTTATTTAAATGTTGAGAGGGTTTCCAAGTAATCACACAATTTTTATTCATGTATGAATTAATCAGTTCTATAAAAGTTAGCCAAATAAGAATTTTACACAAGAACACTTAAAGTATACTTATCTAATCTAACATTGATAAGTTAAGCAGCTAATCAATTGCTTATACACCCATCATATGCACTCTGTAAATTAATCTGTGTCAAACACATTTTCTATCACCCGAAATTTTATGAACTTTTATTATAATTGTTAAACATAAAGTAAGGAAGTATAGTTGTCTTTTACTAAAACCTATTATTTGTTCTTATATTAATATTAAATGATGTTTGCCTTTAATACTATAAAAATAAATATTATTATCATCTGTAGTCTTCAGATAGGTAGCTAACATAAATCAACTAACTTCTTGGTTGACAACCTTTATTGTTTATCAATATATCTTGACCATGCCCGGCATTTATTTGTTTCCCTATGCTTCTTACATATAAACGTAATCTGAATAACATCTGACAAATGTTTAATATACATATATAATAATGACACACAAATGGCGCATAAGGCAACACCGAGCTTTTAAGGTCCATTTAAGTCAATTTAACAAATAAAATAAATAATAAATAAAATAAAATAATAAATAAAAATAAAAATTATAAAAAAAACCTATATATATATATCATATAGTTGCTTGAATAACGGTTGGTTCTGTTATTATTATTATCTTTTTTTCGTGTAAAACTGTTTTTATCCTTAGGGTTCTTCAACAAACCCAGCAATTATTGGTTTGCTCCCTTAATATGTGGTCGGAACTTTTTACTATTTGGTAACATGATACAACACAGCTGTACAGGAAACATTAGTTCAGAAATAAGTTCATGTATGAAGGTATTTTCGTGACACACAAGCCGTTTTATGCCTAGGTTGAGTTGTATAACAGTTGATATGTGAGGGTTCGAAGTTTTCTCGTTCAACTCAATTTTCCAGCCCTCCGCCTGGGAGCTTACGCATTTGCTACCATTACTAGTTATATTTATGTAAAGACTCGCTACTCGACTCCCAGGTAATACATCATTATGTACGAGAGAACTCTAAGTGAACCCTGTGCCGCCTCGTGTGCCATTTGCTAATATATTTTAATAGAGTCGCGTCAACATGTTTGCATTAAAGTTAATTTTAAGTAGAGGTCCTGACCTGCACCACGGGCCAGAGCAGGGCCTATAAATGCCACAGAGCTTGATTATCTGCCACCCAGTTTAAAAAATTTTGGCCAACTGACATGTTCGCCTCAACTTCGCTACTCGCGTGTGTCCTGATCGGATTCTATATTTGGATAAGGCAGCGCCTATCCTACTTTGAGCGTCGTGGCATTGCGCATGAAGCTCCCCTACCGCTGGTGGGAAATCTGTGGGGCTGGCGGGTAACCAGACACACCTCGGAAATAGTACAGAATCTCTATGTGAGGTACAAGCACTTGGGCCCACTCGTTGGATTTTATTTTCTTATGACGCCCGCCTATATTATTTCGGATATGGAGCTGCTGAAGCGGGTCTTCATCAAGGATTTTGCTAACTTTGACAGTCGAGGGCTGTTTTACAATGAGCGGGACGATCCCTTGTCCGCGCATCTCTTTGCCATTGATGGTCCCAAGTGGCACAGCCTGAGGCCCCGCATGTCGCCCATATTCAGCAGTGCCAAGATGAAGCTTATGTTTCCAGCGGTGCTGCGAACAGCTCGGGAGCTGTCGCATGTGCTGCACGAGCGTTGCGCGGGAAAGACTGCTTTCTTGGAGGTCACCAAGCTGCTCGCCTGCTACACGGCGGACACCATTGGCTCCGCCATTTTCGGGCTGGAGTGCAATAGTCTGCGCAATCCAAAAGCGCCCTTTGTGCAGATGGGCCTGAATGCGATGCTCAAGAAGCGCATCGATTACATATTCTGCCTGCTCTTCCCTGAGCTGAGCCTCAGACTGCACATCAAGCGAACTCCCGCCGACGTGGAGGCCTTCTACATGGGCCTGGTCAAAGACACCATCAGCTACAGGGAGCAGCACAAGATAAAGCGCAACGACTTCGTTGATATCATGCTGGAAATGAAACAGAAATACGATTCGGGCAACACAGCCGAGGGTCTGACTGTCAATGAGATCGCCGCCCAGATGTACGTATTTCTGGTGGCGGGCTTTGAGACAACATCCACAGCTCTAACCCTGGCCTTGTACGAGCTGGCACGTCACGAACATATCCAAAGCCAGCTGCGGGAGGAGATCGAGGAGGTCATCGCGAACTATGGGGAGAACGGAGAGCTAAACTACGAGGCCATGCAGAAAATGAAGTATCTGGAGCAGGTCATATCGGGTAAACAAAACTAACAGATTAAAAGATCTGTAAGATCAATAAATTTATATTTTTTCTCCCATTTGACTATCTTTCAGAAACCCTGCGGATGTATCCCGTGGCCACAGAGCACATGCGTCGTGCCAATGGACACTTCGAGGTGCCAGGTCATCCGAAGCATTATATACCAGCTGGATCGCATCTGATCATACCTGTCTATTCCATACACCATGATCCGGAATATTATCCGGAGCCGGAGAAGTTTCTGCCTGAACGTTTCACAGAGGAGGCTATACAGAAACGGCCCAGCTGCGCCTTTCTACCCTTCGGTCTGGGTCCCCGCATCTGCATTGGCATGCGTTTTGGCCGTATCAAGCTGGCCGTGGGTCTAATTGCATTAATACGTAATTTTCGCTTTGTCTTTGCGCCCACCACCCCACAGACCATGCAATTCGAGAAGCATTCGTTTCTACTACACACAAAAGGTTTCCAGCTGCAGGTGGAGCCGCTCGGCTAGAAGCTAAAATAAATATCGCAGACTAAATTTAGCTTGTTATCAGGTTAGTTTTGTGACTATTATTACAATTGCCACGGTTTTCAATTCTTACCCATTCATAAATAATTTTAATTTATATTTGTATTCTTGTATATTATACAATGATAAGAACATAACAATCCCCAATAACTAAGGCAGAAAGAAGTACAATCACAAAACTGGTTTGCAAATTATGTTTATATATGTTAAATTCACATATACAATCTAAATAATGACGCAATATTCTCGAGTATAATCATTTGTTATTCCAACCAGAGAGATAGGGAGAGAGAGAAAGAGAGAGATAGGGAGAGACAGAATCAGGGAGAACAGATTTGAAAGCTTAACAATTAAATATTTACGCATCCCACTATACACATTCAGTGCATAAGTGAACTTTAGATATGCCAAGCCCACTGGCTCTGTAATAACAAATAAATTGTGTATATACAATAAAAAATTATGTTTATGAAAGCATGATGTAAACTTGAATAATTGTTACGGAAACATTGTATTAGAATCAAAATTAGTTCTGCCTTAATTCAACCATTTCTAAAAAATCTCATAAATTACATGAAGCAGCCGTACACACAAAATAATTACGTGTTAGCACAAAACAAAAAAACTAGTATAAATATAGTATTTAAAGTGTTTTCTTTAAACTAGGCTTGAACACGCTCCACTTTCAGGTATATACCAGATTCGCTGGCTATCAAGAAGCTCTCCTTGTGATTTTTAATGGGTATAATTGTCTTATCGCATACCGAAAACTTAAAGTTTTTGATAAGCATGGCAAGACCAACGCGAGCCTGCATTTCGCCAAATCTCATTCCAATGCAATTGCGCGGCCCATCCCCAAAGGGAAGCCATTCCCCCGAGTCACGGTTCTTCACTCGTTCGGCTTTAAAATTATCTGGATTGAATCGATTTGGTTCAGGATAGAACTTTTCATCACGGTGCATAGCGCCGCAGGGTATTAGCACTGGCATTCCCTTCTTGATCACATAGTTCGGATATCCTGGTACGACAAAGTCCTCTAGGCATTCGCGGTTAAGGACTGGAAGAACCGTGTATAGCCGAAGGGTTTCTGGAAATCAATAACTAGTCAATGTTAAGTGCATTTAATGGTTTATTGGATTGCTTACCCGATATGACCTGGTTCAAATACTCCATGTCCTTGATACATTCATAAGTTAGCTCTCCATTATACCTGGCTAGTACCTCATTGCACTCCTCCCTTAACCGGGTTTGTATGTCCTCGTTCTGAGCCAATTCAAATAGAGCAAATCCCATGGTGGTGGAAGATGTTTCAAATCCGGCGGCGAAGAAGACGAAAGCCTGGGCAGCTATTTCTTCAATCGTAAGACTCATACTCTCACCCGTTTCGGACTTCATCAATTGATTGTTTTTCAAGTCAATCAGTTGATCCATGAAATCGTTGCGTCGAACATTGTTCTCCTCTCTGTAGGCAACAGTTTCTCTTACAATGCGCATGAAGAACTTTTCAATGTACTCTGGTGTCATTTTCAAATGAATGCGTCTTGACAAGTTTGGAAAACTGTTGAGAAAAGCAATTCCCAAGGCCCCATGACGTTGATCGGTTAAAGCCTTACGACCCATGACTCGGAATTCCGCTTCCGGATCCTTGAGACTGCTGCACTCAATGCCAAATGCACAAGTACCGATAACATCTGTTGTGAATCGAGCCATGAGTTCCTTAACCTCAATAATCGAAGACTTGGCTGTCATTTCTCCGAAGACGTCTACGAACTCGTGACCAATTTTTACAATCGTCGGAAACATGAACTTCATTTTGCCGGATGTGAAGGTTGATGATAGCTTGTTTCTCATAGATCTCCACTTGTGACCATCTAGCAGAAACAGCTGACCAGACAGCGGATCATCCTCGGGGTTATGAAAGAAGCCTCTATCCGTGAACTTGTTGAAATCCTTGATAAGGATATGCTTAACCAAGAAAGGCTCCAAGATGAATGCGGCTGGACGTTGGAACCAGTAGAATCCGGCAAATGGTCCCGTTCCTCTGAATTTGTTATAATAATGAATCCAAATATCTGGGAATGCTCGCTTAGTGCGGACGCCCGCCAAGTTGCCCATCAGATAATAGGGCTCTTCGCATGGAATGCCCAAGTTTTGCCAATGCTGCATATTACGACGCAATCTCAAAAAGAGATAGCCTATCAGGGCTACCACCGCAGTGAGTAATAAGGAGCCGACTCCCATGGCGACCAGCAACTATTTATATGATTCAGATAGAGAGACACGCCCGCGATTTAAATGAACATTGGCAAAGTACTGAGCGCCACTACGATCGGGTGCACCTATTTAAGCCCATTCGAAGCTTTCGTACTCAGCATGACAATAGATATTCTCTAAAGAGCTTTTTGGAAATGGGTAGTCAGCTGTGACAGTTGTACTCTATCGAAACAAGTTCTTCAGAATTATGGAGCATTTTGTGGTATTTTATTCTATATACGAATTCAATTATTTAATTCAATTATTTTGATGACATTTATCTCTTTATTATATATTTATCTCTTTATATATATTATATAAAAAATTTAGTCGCCGGCTGAGCACTTGGTTTCATTGTCATAAGAAATGTAATGCATAGTTTGAGTTTCACCCATTGACAATCGCATTTTACTTTATTTATAAGATACACGCTATAAATAATAACTAGGGCCTGAAGGGATTAAAAGTTGCTATCCTGTACCCAGCTAAGATTGTTATGTAGGTATGTCCACTGTGTGTCTGCCTGTATTATGTCTGTCTTTCATTCTCTCTCCCTCCCTATCTCTCTTTCTATTTCGCTTTCTCACTGTGCTTTGTAAACGTGGCACCTTAGTGGCTTAGGTGTCAAAGTTTTGGACTAATTTGCGAGAGACCGCCAGTTCGGCTTCAGCAACAATTGTCATATTAAATATTAATAACAATTATTTTGAAGCAATAGAACCTGGATAGTCTTAAAAATATATATATATATTGGTAAGAAAAAAATAAATATGATTTAGGTAAATAAGCCACGCAGCTTCAAGTTAAAATCAAGCAGTGTATTTATTTAAGCCATGAACTCGACCAATAATTGGTTCTATTAAAATTCCTGAGCAACACACGAATAATTCTAAACTTATATCGGGTCATTTGCATAAATCAAATGTACAGTTGATACTATGAAATATTGCCAAGTGAGTTCTTAAACTCGCTCTACCTTTAGGTATATTCCTGACTCGCTGGCTATCAAGAAGCTCTCCTTGTGATTTTTAATTGGTATAATTGTCTTATCGCATACCGAAAATTTAAAGTTTTTGATAAGCATGGCAAGACCGATGCGAGCCTGCATTTCGCCAAATCTCATTCCAATGCAATTGCGCGGCCCATCCCCAAAGGGAAGCCATTCCCCCGAGTCACGGTTCTTCACTCGTTCGGCTTTAAAATTATCTGGATTGAATCGATTTGGTTCAGGATAGAACTTTTCATCACGGTGCATAGCGCCGCAGGGTATTAGCACTGGCATTCCCTTCTTGATCACATAGTTCGGATATCCTGGTACGACAAAGTCCTCTAGGCATTCGCGGTTAAGGACTGGAAGAACCGTGTATAGCCGAAGGGTTTCTGGAAATCAATAACTAGTCAATGTTAAGTGCATTTAATGGTTTATTGGATTGCTTACCCGATATGACCTGGTTCAAATACTCCATGTCCTTGATACATTCATAAGTTAGCTCTCCATTATACCTGGCTAGTACCTCATTGCACTCCTCCCTTAACCGGGTTTGTATGTCCTCGTTCTGAGCCAATTCAAATAGAGCAAATCCCATGGTGGTGGAAGATGTTTCAAATCCGGCGGCGAAGAAGACGAAAGCCTGGGCAGCTATTTCTTCAATCGTAAGACTCATACTCTCACCCGTTTCGGACTTCATCAATTGATTGTTTTTCAAGTCAATCAGTTGATCCATGAAATCGTTGCGTCGAACATTGTTCTCCTCTCTGTAGGCAACAGTTTCTCTTACAATGCGCATGAAGAACTTTTCAATATGTTCTGGAGTCATCTTCAAATGAATGCGTTTTGACAATTTCGGAAAACTGTTGATAAAAGCCATTCCCAGGTCCCCGTGACGTTGATCGGTTAAAGCCTTACGACCCATTACTCGGAATTCCGCTTCCGGATCCTTGAGACTGCTGCACTCAATGCCAAATGCACAAGTACCGATAACATCTGTTGTGAATCGAGCCATGAGTTCCTTAACCTCAATAATCGAAGACTTGGCTGTCATTTCTCCGAAGACGTCTACGAACTCGTGACCAATTTTTACAATCGTCGGAAACATGAACTTCATTTTGCCGGATGTGAAGGTTGATGATAGCTTGTTTCTCATAGATCTCCACTTGTGACCATCTAGCAGAAACAGCTGACCAGACAGCGGATCATCCTCGGGGTTATGAAAGAAGCCTCTATCCGTGAACTTGTTGAAATCCTTGATCAGGATATGCTTCATCAAGAAAGGCTCCAAGATAAATGCGGCTGGACGTTGGAACCAGTAGAATCCGGCAAATGGTCCCGTTCCTCTGAATTTGTTATAATAATAAATCCAAATATCTGGGAATGCTCGCTTAATGCGGACGCCCGTCAAGTTGCCCATCAGAAAATTGGGCTCTTCGCATGGAATGCCCAAGTTTTGCCAATGCTGCATATTTCGACGTATTTGCAGGAAAAGATAGCCTATCAGGGCTATCACCGCCGTTAACAATAAAGTGCCGATGCCCATGCTAATCAGAAATAACTTATGCAAAAACAAGTGAAAGTTGTGGAGCACAAGTCTTGCTATTTAAACAAACTTCAGAGCAAAACTAACAGCCACTTCGACCGTGTGTGCCTTATAAAGTCCAGCATATACGGTCACAATGACAGTTGAGCTTTAACGGACTCACTCCCTGATTAATCTGTTGGCTAATATTGCTAAAATGTGCTGGTAACCCTTATCGATTGGAGCTTTTGCAGACGTTTGTAGCTAGCCTCTAAATTATTTTTTAAAGTCTGCAACGTCATCTAGCTCTCGCCGGTACTAATCACGTCCTAAATAAATTTTCATAAAGATCCTTGAAAATAATTTTTAACCGAAAAATAAAATTCGTAGATAACAATCCCGTGGTCAGTCAGTCAAGATGAACTCTTATATACATCTAACTATGTACCATATTGTCTTAATCTTTGCAATTAGAGTCACCTCATTATAACATATAGGATTGATATTATTGCACGATATTTGAAATATCGAAGATTATTTAGAGGCAGAGTTCATGTCTTGCCGATATATCTAGATATATTAAACTAATAGAAATTTAAAATATTTAGTTTAATTCGCGATAATGTTGTCATTTAAGGCGAAGCTTTTTCACTCACAAAGATTCGATTCAATTGACGTGCGTCTTAAATCGGCATATTTACTTACAGGTGGTCCGGCAACGCTGCTGTTTGCTTTCTGTCGCATTTTAGTTTAACATTTAATTAGATTTCAAGTGCAGGTATTGGTAGAAACAAATACTACAATATAAGCAACAACAATTGAACAGCTTTATTTGTTGTTTGTTGTTATTCGCGATATTTGTTTTAATACCCTGTACGCATAGCAAATGTGAGAGAGGGACATTAAAGTTATCTGCTAAGGTATACAACAAGTAGAAGGAAGTACATCTAATGAAAAGTCAAGACTGCGAGCTGAGCTGATCCCTAGAGATTCAAATATTAAAACTTATATTCTGGTATGTCACAGATAAAAGTCTTAGTCTACGATTCTCTATCTATTTGGTTCTCCAATAGGGTACACAGATAACTGATTGGATACCTTTTCCCGCTCCACCCAAAAATTTCGATTATTCTTTTAAATTATGATCCTGGAATTTGTGTATAATTTAATATCATTAAGATCGGACTATAAACGCAAAGGTGCATATGTTATAGTGTGAGGCTACGACCACTGCTTAAAGGGTCTCCCCTAGTCGGTCACTCACAACAAGTCTGGCTCTTGTTGTTGTAGCATTTACGCGCTAATTGGACGTTAAATTCAACAGGTCAACTAAACAAGTACATTGAGAGCAAAAGCTGCGAGTATTTTTGAACTGTGCTCGAATAAAGCCGCTCACATGACTTCAAATTGAATGTAATTTAAAAAAAAAAAGTTAAAGCTTAAAATTTGCTGGTTCGTCAATTTTTATATTTTACTAGAAAGAGGGGTTATACATATTAGACAGCTGATGACTGACGTCTTATGATAAGGGAGTATTTAACATTTATTTGCTTTTGCTCATTGAGCACACAACTTTTTTGCTCAGTGCAATTAGTTTGGGGCCAGTTTTAATAGAGCTAACCCCACCCCAACGGGAATACCATAGGAATTTCAAAGCCAACAACTGCTCTTTTATCTATAAGAACCAAAAATACAAAAAAAAAATGAAAAATTAAAAAAAAAATCAAATAAAAGCCGTACAAAACTGATAACAAACGAAAATGACTTTAAAGTGTATTGCTACGTAGATAATTTACAGTGCTCTGTCATGCGGAACTAATAAATGCTCTACAATGAGTTTTTTTATTTAAATTATTTGTATTAATTTGATCAGCATATTGAGTTCTTATATAATTAACATTACAATATTCCCCGAGTAGCAGATGCAAGTGACTAAGAAGTAGTGGTATAACGAGAGAACTTCTTTTGTAAAAGAGTGTAGACAACTTCAATTGACCGCTCCGACTAGATTCTTTGTGCTCACAGCTCATTGATTCGTCCCACGTAGAGACTTAGTCACAATGAGCTGCGAGTCTGCTTTGTTGGCCTCACTCGGACACCCACTCGGAGCTTGTTAAAGCCATAAGCAGCAGTAACTGTAGTGTAGCGTACTCCAGGTACCCCCCTCCTTCCGCCTAAATGAAAAGCTCCCAATGGCGCGGAGCGTATTGTAAATATGTTTTACTCAATTGCACTCAGTCGAACAGCGCGGTTTGGTCATGAAAGTAACAGATTCAACTTGTCGCTGAGAACGCGTCCGCGATTCGCATTAGATCACTGACGGATTCGGTTTCCGGCCACAAAGAGTCACTGGCCAAAACTGTGTGTGACACTGTGATTTCGCGTGTGTCTGTCTGTGTGTGAGTGTGTATTTTCAATTTTAATACAATTTAAAACAAATCAGCATGAAAGGCATGTGGATAATATTTATGATATTGGGCCTAATCGTGCTCTGCCTGCTGGTGCTGCTGTTCATGGCCGCGCGCTATCAGCGCGATTATTGGCGCTATTTGGACATACCGCACGAGAGGCCCAAGAAGCTATGGCCCATCGTTAAGCAGCTCGTCACCCAATCGCTCAGCACCGAGGCAATGAAGGCCGCCCATTACACGACACTCTACAACAAGTTCAAGGGCAGTGGACCCTTCTGCGGCTTTTATGCGCTGCTGCAGCCGCGCGCTCTGGTGCTCGACCGTGAGCTTATACGCCAGATCATGATCAAAGATTTCGCGAATTTCAACGATCGTGGCATTTACTGCAATCAGAAATCGGATCCGCTATCGGGCGATCTGTACGGACTGCGTGGCAATAGATGGAAGGAGATGCGACAGAAACTGGAACCGACGTTCGAGCGAGACCGCATAGAATGGCTTTATGACAGCCTGTACGAGGAGGCCGAGCAACTGCTGCTAATTGTCAGCACCACGCTGATGAAGCAGCCCCATTCCACGCTCCACATACAGAAGCTAATGCGTCGCTATGTGCTGTCCGCCCTGGCCAGCTGTGTATTTGGCCTGAACGCCGAGCAGCGCCAAAAATACCCATTGGATGAGTTTGAGCAGATGACGGAGCTGGCACTGAGCACCCGTAAGCATGGCTATCTGATGAATCTGCTGATGATACGCTTTCCCAACTTCTGCCGCAGGCTGCGCATGCGCCTAACTCCCAAGCAGGCTGAAGTCTACTTTCTGACCCTACTCGAAGACATTGTAGGGCAGCGCGAGGCATCGGATGTACGTACTCAGGACTATCTACAGCTGCTGCTGGACATCAAAGCGCTGGAGCTGACCACGCACGAGTACGAGGCTGACAAGGAGCTGAAAGCGCATCTGCAACACGAATTGACAGCTCACGCGTTTGTCTTCCTCAAGGCGGGCTACGAGCAGACCGCCAACACCTTGTCCTTTGTGCTATATGAGCTTGCCCTGAACACGGAAGTACAGAGCCAGGTGCGCCAGGAGCTGAAGCAGACCATGGCAAAGCATCAGAATAACCTGAGCTACGAATGTGTGCAATCCCTCACACTCATGGGCCATGTCATCCTGGAAACCCTGCGCATGCATCCCATCACACCCTACATAATGCGACGTGTCCTCAACGACTACACGGTGCCAGAGCACATAAAATACACGCTGGTCAAGGAGCTGTTTGTGATCATACCAACCCATGCCATTCACAATGATCCCGAGTATTATCCCGAGCCTGAGCGCTTTAAGCCAGAACGCTGGGGCAGTTCCAGAGACTCCTTCAAGGAGCAGAGCACATGGTTTGGCTTTGGCTCCGGCGTCCGCAATTGCATTGGCATGCAATTCGCCCAGCTCCAACTGCGTCTCGCACTGGCGCTTCTTCTGCTGGAGTTCGAGTTCACTTTGAACTCCAAGCGACCGCTGGTCAGTCTGGACGATGGCATCGCGCTGCAGTTGATTCCGCTGGGCGTAGTCGAGCCCGGCCTAGAGGAGCGTGCCGTCTAACTGCGGCAAAACCTCCAAATCACAGTGCACGAATATGGAATTTATAATGTGACTAAAGTTAAGATGAATTTAAATACGTTTAAATATTAAGTTTTAATTGGAAAAAAAATAATAACTTTGCAATTGCGGAAACTTAGAAATTCCTTGAAAGCAATGAAAAGTTAAAATAATATTTACACAAAAATAATAATAAAAAAAAAATAACAAGAGGGAAAAAAAATTAGGCTTGTAAGTACTTAAGAATGAAAACTCAAATTAATAAACAAAAAAAATATACATGGAATAATATTCAAAAAAAATCATAAACACAATGAAAACTAAGTAACAAAATGAAACTAAATAGTGATAAAAACCTGACAAACTTAGAGACAAACTAAAATAATTAAGCGTAAAACAACTTGAACATAAATTTTATTTATTCAAAATGCTCTAAAATAGTTAATAGTAAAATGAATACAATTATCTATTATATTAAATACAATGTGCCGCCTTAAGTTTGGGTATACATATACGTTTACTTTGATTCTTACTACGCTTGGATAGCCGGAAATTCCGCAAATTGTTTTCAATTTAATAAAAGTGCTTATTGAAATATTTTGTTTATCAACGATTTTCTTTTATTGTAAGTAGCTCTGCAAAAATAATTTAATTACACATTAATTAATTGCTTTACATTTGTATTATTATTTTTGTTTACTTTTATTTTTGTTGTCGTTTTTTGCATTGTCGTTTGCTGATATGGTTGCTATATGGCTGCTACTCGGGTAGCACAGGCTAGTGCAGTATTTGTTTAGTGATAATGTAAGCAATTTCTTACGGGCTTTAAAGAAATATGTATGTTATTTTTAATTAAATGTAAGTTTTGTCAGTTTTACATTGGATTTTAGTAGCATAATTACGAAACTAAGCATTACTCATAATTTTTGCACAGGTTAATTGTTAAGTTGTGAGCTGTTTAGACTTTAAAATTAAATAGAGATTCAATTAAATACAATTTAAAAATAATATTTAAAAACTGCTTGTGCCTTCTGTTTTCCTTGTTAACTATTAGCTAAATTATTAACAATTGTTTTATTTTTATAGTTTAGCTGGACTGATATGGAATGCTTAAGCTGTTTTCCCTAGACAGCGCTACAAAATGCTTATTCAAATCTTACCACTAATGTTTGTTCGACAGTTTGGCCGCTAATACAGAATGGCTGCCCGGCAGCTGCGTCTTTCCCCCGAACTTCCACTTACGCTTCACTTTGGTGGCTTGGGGCGAGCGGTCAGGGGCAAGGACTTTCGTATGGGCTCCCCACGATTGGGCAGCTTACTGCGCAGCATCTGCTCGTGCACGTAGAGCAGCAGACCCACGTCGCGATGTCCGGCCTGCCAGGCGATTTTGAAGGCCGTGCTGCCATCCTGCAAAGGAGGAGAAAGAAATTTAATACTGTTGCAGGCCGAGGCCCAGATTTAATACTAACCACATCCTGGACCAGTGAATCGCAATCCTGTTGCGACAACAAGTGCTTAACAATGTCCACACGTCCATGCTCCGCGGCGCACATCAGCGCCGTGCTACCATCCTCATCCTGAATATTGATATCTGCGCCGGCATCGAGCAGCATGGCAACCATGTCACTATTACCATGCGACACAGCGAGCATCAATGCGGTCTGGCAATGCTGCAAGAGTGGGGCAGAGGATCAGTTCGGTTAGCAATTGATAAAGAGCAGCGCCCTGATTGACACTCTATGACGTGCCTTTACCTACCTTCTTTGCTCGTATGTTGACATCGGCCATCTGAAACAGTCGCTCCACGACCGTCCGATGCGCCGCTTGCTTCAGCTTGGCCAAAGAAACGAGCATGACGCATGTGTATCCAGCGTTATTCATTTGGTTTACGTTGCAAACCTTGGAATCTAGCAGTATGGATACGACGTCAAAGTTACCATGCGAGACAGCATAATGCATGGCCGTGTTGCCCTGTAAATATATAAAATAGAGGTCAAGCACTGAGTATTGAGAAGATGCAATAGCTATGTATATAGAGCATACATGGAATTAATCTCAACTAATTCCAAACTTAAAGAAGTTATATTTACAACGGAACCCGAAGAACGTTAAACGCTTTTTAAAAACTATTTTAAAGCCTTTTTTGAAGTTAATCTTAAAGCTCACAAAGAATTGTAAGAATTCATATCTGATATCATTTAGGTACTGACTTAAGAGAGATGTGCAGTTAGATGAAAAGTTATATCTACCACATACTCTTCATACTATCAAAAATGTACTTACAATAATTTCTTAAATATATTATATATTATATATTTATATATATTTAAGCTTAAAAGCTTTGCACTCGAAAAGATTTATATCCATTCTATTATCCATTCGAATTAAACTACTATAAATACAATTTCAACATGAATTATCTAAGCTTTTCGTAATATCAATTAATTTGACTTAACTTATTCCTTAAAGCTCAAAATCGTTATCACTTAAAAAGCTTAACAGCTTTTTATTTGAATTATTATTTGAATTTTAATTTTATCTCAACATTTCCCAATTAGCCTTAATACTCTCTCTTTATTACCTTCCTTGCAAAAGATTCATTACTTAGAATTCAGCTCAAATTTGTTTTAAAGCCTAAAAGCTTTGGCAACCTTATCAACTCACATTGCTATCGAAGAGGTTGACACAATACTCCAAAACTGGCACCGACAACGATTCAAAATAGTCCAAGTAATCCTCAACCTCATGCGGATTGGACGTAGCGGTGCTGGATATGCGGAACCAGTGCTCCCCAATGGTTGCCTTGGGCGTCTTGAGGCTGAACGATGTAAAGGGCCTGGAGCCCAATTTCTTGAGCAGCGAATCGTTGACGACTTTAAGTGCATCCTTCAGCTCCTTGGGCAATTCCGTTCTGTGGGTCAGCAGAAGATAATATTGATATCATTTGAAGATTTGGGATTCAAAAACTGACTTTTTTCTGGGCTCTGACGGTGCCTGAGCCAGCTGATGCAGCTGTGCCTTGGTTGGCGGACGCTCCTCTTTCGGACTTTCTTCCACGTCTGCCTGCCGCTCGATGACGGTCACCTGGGAGCCTTCGCTTTGACTAGACTTGAGCGGCGTGCTCGACTTTTTGCGTGCACCTTGTGATATCTCGCGCTCCACGTTGGAATCACTAGACACGGTTAGCGCTTGCTCCGGCGAGGCGGACTTGGTGCTGGTCGTCGTTGCCGAAGAGGTCATCAGTGGCGCTGGTGAGGCATCGCGGGACCAACTAATGCTAACCCGTTTCTCCTCGCGCACAATCAACTCATCGTCGCCAAGCTGGGTTAGATCTAGATCCTGAGACGTTGCAGTTGATTTGCTGGACGGCTGTTTGATAAAGCTCTGCGACTCCGGCGAGAGGTCGTGCGCCGCATTTGGCGGCTTTTCCTGCAGCGAGCTGTGGAATAATATTTAAATGGTCTCAGTCAGAAGATTCACCAATGTAAACTTTGCTCTGAAGGACGCACGTTAGCAACAGCGCTGAGCAGCCGCTGACCACCAGTGGGTAGCAGGTGAAGCTGCTCAGGCCGGAAAACATCGAGAACACCATGGAAAAACGAAAAGCCAAACAATAAACAAAAAAGTCGATAAACGAAGCGAAGCTGCAAACGCGCCAAAGCCAATATGAAAACTGAGCCTGAAGGTCAATGCGACCAGGCTGGCAGTCGCAGGCATTCGTACTCCGAATCGGAGTCGCGCGCTGAGCAGCTCCAATGCGCATGGCACATGACTTGCTGTGGGTTTGTGCCTCGGCTGAAAGCTTGCATCAGAAGCTACATATTTGTTGTGCTTTAAATAATTTCAACTAGCGCACAGTGGAACGAGAGAGAAATGAAAGCAAATTATTCAGTTACTACTAAAAATGTTACATTGAATTAATGTATTTGTAGTCATTCGTTATTCTAATTTGAGTTTCTTAATCGCGAGAGCCCGACTGGGAGATTCTCTGCAACCTTCTAAGCATACATACAGAAAATATTACTTATACGTATTGCCCGATCATTATGAAATTTTAATAGAATAAACATAGATTCAAAATGGATTTAAGTACCAAAGCCCAAGACTGTGCCTCGGAAATTTTGATGTTTTCCATATTATGGTGAAGGTGTTCAAAAAGATAACATTTTTGAGCTGTGCATAGGTACCTAGGAGGATTTACGTTCGAAATTGCAAGGCTCTTGCTCAAGCGTAAAAGGAGACTATTGTACATTGAAATATAAATGTAGAAGATTTTAGCATTTTAAATGACCTGGGCCCGGGACAGTAAAAAACTGAATTAACACAACAATAAAATAAACTTGAAAAAGATAATTACTTTACAAACACTGTTCGCTCGTTCCTCCACATATTTGAATAGTAACGTTCAACTCACCTCAAATTTATTTTTCCTTCCGCCTTCGGGCTCTTTGTTGTCGATGGCGTTCCTGTGGCAGTTGGTAGCGTATAAGTATTTTGTCTCTGGAACTGCCTGCGCACTGGACTGGGACTAGTGAGATGCTTGGGGCGCGGAATGCGCGAATCTGCCGAGGCAGAGCGCCTAACCGTGGGAGCAGGCGTGGAAGCCGCAGCCGGAGTTGCCGGAGCAACCGGAGCAGCGGGCGTCAGCTCAATGGTGTCCGCCTTTGAAAAATCCTTGGCCAGCACGCGGATAGCCTCTTTGCAGGAATCACAGTAATTGGCCGCACAGGCAATCGAGATGTGCGGCTTGACAATGTCGCCGCAGCCAACGTCCCGTTTGTGCACCTGATCCGTGTTGCAAGCTGAGTGGGTAGTGCTCCGCTCTGGCTTAGGCAACGGCGCCGGCTCGGTGTTGCTGCCTGCGTGGCGTATAGATGGGCGTGTCTGTGGCGCCATCAGCTGCTCGGACTTGGTTGCGCTGCGTGAAAGACGCTGCAGTCCATTGGTATCCGTTTGGCGGCTTGTCGTTTCCACGTTACCGCACTGTGTTGCCACCTGTTGCTGCTCCGGCCTAACCTGAGCCCCCGTGGAACGCACAGTGGTCGTTGTTGTTTGGATCGACGCACTGTGCACCATTTTCATTGGGGTCTGGCAGGCAATGGTCTTGCGCTTGATCGCCAGCTGCTCATGCTCGCCCAGGCTGAAGGTGTTGCTGCGCCCCGGCAGCAGTGGCACGGGTTTTGGCTTCTCCAACGGCTCCTCTGTGCCACAGCTAACGCTGACGCTGCGCCGAACGATGGCACACTTTTCGCAGAGCACATCCGTGATGCGATGGTCGGAGCTGCCCACGCTGCGCACATCCGGATGGCAGTTG